ACACACACACACACACACACACACACACACACACACACACACACACACACACACAGTTGACTCAAACGAGCAGAAGTTCGTAGCAGGTGACTGTCATTGTCCTACATTATTTTCCCCTCAACAGATTCTCTTCCTTTCGTGGCAGCTGGCAGCAGACAGCTGCTCCTGGTACATTTCAATAAATGTCATTTTAGCTTTTTTTAGATTCGTCTCAGTGAGAGAAAAGACCCATTTTTATTTTCAGCTCGATGAAATACGAGTCAAATAAAAGCTCAAAAACATCCGGAGGGGTTTAATCTTCGTTTCAGTCAGCTGGGCGTCTCTCGGATTTTTTTTATATTGTGCTGAATACAAAGAATTAGAAACAGCAAAGCACTTTAACATTTCCTCAATATTGCACAACGATGTTCATGGTGGAACTTTATACATCTAAAAAGTTAAATGTCATTATATCAAGTCATATGTTTTCATGAGCGTAACCATTTGGATTACCGATATGTGGTTTATCCAGTTATTCAAAATAACGCCACCAATCTCATTACATTAACAATATTAACTACCACTGAGTGACGAGTTAAGGGCCTTGCTCAAGGGCGCCTCGAAGGTAGTAATGAGCGAGAGGCAAGCGCTGCTCTATCGCTTTCCCCCGTCAGATTTATCACTAATCATACCGTTAACCTTCTTCCGGTAGCTTAAACACAAGCACAAATCATCCCTATAGAATAATAGGGTGTGAGTCTTACCAGGGTTTTCCCGCACTGGAAGCTGATGCTGGTCTGAATGCTGTTGCCGCTCTCAGGACATTTCTCTGTGCTGTTGTAATCCAGCACCGTGCCAGACAGCGTGTACAGGGACAGCTCACCTGCACATCCAGAGACAAGAGAAACGGTCAATGACCGACCGTTGAGCCTTTACTTTGTACAACAGATGTGTAGAATGTCTAATTAACTTTGAATCAAATCCATTTTCTTCGCAATTATTACAACACAGAAGGGTGGAAAGACTGCCTTTTGGAATAAGGCGGAGAGACGGTGGTGGACAAAATACATACATTTGTGTTTGACAATTGTAGCTTTATTTCTTCTTTACACTTCTTTCCACCCTCGTCTTTACCACCCATGGATAATCAAACACAGATTATGCAGAGCTACACAGAGACTTGCTGTACCCAACAGTTGTTGTTATTGCGATAAAAAGATTATAACAACATTTATCTAATGATAATTTAAGAATGAAAACAGTAAAAACACACAGTCTCTGGTTTCCCTGTATGTTACTGTAGCAGACAGTCTGGCAGAATAATGGCTTCACCCGCCAACCTCTTCTGACCCACACACGACTTAAACCTCGGTAGCATAATATCCCGACTGTGCTGCCAGTACAGAGTCGTTATTTATCATCTGAGTAGAACCAGACAGCAGTGGGAAATGTTCTGCATGTGAAGGAACATTTGGGGCAGTTAAATAAACTCACAGCGGGTCTCGGCCCGACGAAACTACCGGGATGTCTGTAAATGTGCTACCGAACCTAAAGCTCAAATATGCCTCCGTCGCACCGACGACGATCAGCAGAAAATAAATCAGTTTTCCTCCTTCCTGCAGGTCATTAAGCAGCCAAACATTTAGCCTGAACAGAAACTAATTGGAGTTCATTAAAGCATTACAACTACAAATCCCCTTTGTAATGAGCTGGACGAGTGTGTCCGTGTGTCTAATTGATGACCTCATTCTCGTCCTCGTGTATATTTCAGCGTCTCCGTCGAATTTAAAATGTTACGAAGAAATACTAACATCTTTCATGGGATTTGAAGTGTTGTTACGTGTGTGTGTGTGTGTGTGTGTGTGGTCCCACTGACATGGCTGGAGCGCTATCACAAACGGACCATGAAGGAATGTAACTGAACAACACAGTGACCTACTAACACCAACCACTACAGTAGGCAGGACCGAAGCACTGCCCACGTCCCAGCCTGTTGCACTGCATCAACTTAAAGTCCCGTAATACTGAGTTATAGTTGTTATTATTATTGGACATATTTTGGCAGTATTATGACTAAGATAAGGAGTAAAGTATGCATGGTTTCACTGGGATTTCTCTGGGCATTTAGAGTAGATCAAGTTGAAACAATTACTCGATTAATTCATAACTTCGACTGAAATTTAATCTGCAGACATTTTTTTTTTTTTTACATAAAATAGCGATCAAGCTATTATAGCGATCAAATGTGAGAATGTGACACCTTTATCTCACGTGATTGTCAATTGATTTTCTCTTTTGGACTGTTGGTCAGACAAAACAAGCAATTTGAAGACGTCACCTAGGACTTTGTGATGGACTATTTTGTGATAAAAAACACACTTTTAATAATGAAAATGTGGGAACAAATGCGATCCATTGTAAATCTAAGTGGACTACAGCCGCTGATCTATACGAAAGAGCGAACAACTAACTTTTTACAGGCACTTTTCATTCCAGTACATGTGGTGAGGGGAGCATTTGTTCCTCCAAAGATTTTGATTTGAGGAAGCAGAAAAACCCACAAATATCAAAGTGTTAGAATTGACAACGTGTGGTTTTTATGTCAAGGCAGCATGAACAAAGCCAGAAGCAAACAGAGAGAGACAGAGAGACACAGCGACAGAGAGAGAGAGAGACAGACAGAGACAGAAGGACAGAGAGAGAGAGACAGAAGGAGAGAGAGAGACAGAAGGAGAGAGAGAGACAGAAGGAGAGAGAGAGACAGAAGGAGAGAGAGAGCGCTGGTGAGTGAGTGAGCAGAGAGTGACATTCGTGTCTATTTGTGTTTGTGCTCGATGATATGTTCCCGTGTCATGTGATAAGTCATCTGGCATGACTAAACTGCAACTCATCTGACCACACTGCTCCTTGTTTGCCCTTCTGTCACTTTCCCACTGTGTGATCTTCCTCTTGAAACACAACTAAAATCTTGTGAGGACATCTTAATAAAGATAAGTTGTGAAATACACTGTACAACGACGACATGACTCTGCAGTCTCCAGCTCTTTGTCAGCCTCAGAGAACAAGAGTCTGATGACACGCTCAGAGCTACCAGACACCAGTCTGTCACCGGGGGAAGGTCACGGCCTCAGACTGCAGGACAAGTCGTTGTTGTGGGTCTCTGAAATAACTCCGTCTGGCAGCCTGTCCTCTTTGGAAAAGGTCACGGGTCAAAATCAGAGACAGTGACGCAACTGGAATTGAGAAACAGCCAAAAATAATCACAGCGATCCTGTGTCAAAATGTAAGAAATCGTCAGGTAGCTGTTTGATATTAACAGTAATGTGACATCAGCATGTGGTCTAATGCATTTACACAGTAGGAACTGGGAGGTTGTGGCACCACTTCAAACAATAATTTGGGAGGCATCCAATGAGCCGAAGAGAAAGAAAAGATGTCATATTTCTGCCCGTCCACTAATTCATTCTTCAAAGAGTAACGAAAGAGTTCATAAGAGTTATAAAAAACATCTCGAAAGGCATCACACGTGTCTGCAGCTCATTGCTCCCCTGGGCTAACCAAACCTTTATTTTGTGGTTTTCAAAAACTGAGGGGTGCTTCTCCCAGAGGAGGGGGGGCATGTGACCCAGGGGTGGGAATATGTGGAGCAGAACTAAATGACTCTGATTGGTGTGGAAACAATACAAAAACAAGAGGGATTTCACGCTATCAAGGGAAGTTAGGGAGTTCCATTCCGACAGCAAAAACGACAAATGAGGAAGAGATATTTGAGGAGAAGAAATACAACAGATCCGAAAACAGATCAGTTAAAACCTGAAGTAGAGGTTCACTTTAAATAGATCAGGTGTCTTTCAGATTCAGATACAAAGCCGACACTTGAAAAAAGTACCTCCAGAGTAATCTCCCAGACCCCAAAGTGACGTCCTCGAAACGCTTGTTTTGACCAAACAATAATGAAAAAAAAACCAATTCCTGGCATTTGAGAAAGTGGACACAGAAAATCTTTTGCCATTTTTGCTCAAAATAACAATTAAAAAAAAAAAAAAAAAAAAAAAAAAAAATCACTGAAACGATAAAATCAACTATCAACATTTTTCTTTAGAGTGACTCATCACTGCAGCTCTGAAAGTGAAAGGAAAACATGAAGTTTGTGAACTTGATAATGTTCTCTAATAACATTGTGGTTAATAAATTATTTAACAGCAACTAAGAGTTATTTTTATTTTTGATTTGTAATCAATCATCCCGTCACAAGTTGATGTCATCAAATGAAGTCAGGGGCAAAACAGAAGGCATGGCCTCAAATTAAGTGTAATCAATGCACATCAGCGTGATTAAATAAAGATCAGGGCCGTCTCTGTTTACTGAAGGTCAGGTCTGATGAAGGAAATCACTCTCATATAGTGACACACAATGTTCACACAAACACTACAATTCAACCACTGAACAGGAGGAACTACAACAGAAATTACACACTAGTTAAAACAATAACAACTACAAAATTTGGCCCAGATCTTTCCATAAATGAATAAAATAACGTTTATTTTTAAAATTACAAACTGCATTGCTTTCTGTTCATACACACTGCAACCCAAACAGTCAGCATCCGGGGTCAACATAACTTTAATACCAGTCTCTGTTGTAGCTTAAAAGCGCTAGGTTAGCTGCCGGCTAGCTTTAGTTCAACTGTGCAGCTAAGTTGCTGATGCTAAGCTAAGCTGCTTCTGCCGGACTTGCAGTGAGGGTTGCTCGTCTGGGACAGAGCGAGGTGCAGATCTTGCTGACACACAACAGCAGCAGCAGACTCATCAGCACAGATATCAGATCTGCTAATGTACTGATAAAGCTCTGAAAGACTGATGCATAAAGCATCACTTCACACAGCATCATAAACCCCCTCAGCGGTTCGATGATGCTACCCGTCACTAAGAAACCCAACAGTAGTGACACCTCCTCTCCTCAAACATACAGCAAACATGCAACTACAATAACTAACCTCACAATAGCTGACCACTGTTTATGGGCTGACCAGATTATCGCAGGTCAAACCATGTGTCGCACAGAACACGCCAAAACGGAAAATTAATCTGCAACTATTTTGGTAATAGAATAAGTACAAATGCCATACGTTTCATGGTTCCAGGCTCTCAAATGTGTGTATTTGATGCTTTTCTTTGTTACATATAGCTGAAAATCATTGCAAATACGGATCTTACTTTTCTGTAAACATACGCTAAAATACATGTATGTTTTGGTTGGGACTCCAGACCGAGAATAGCTGTCAACAAGATCAATCAGAATAATTTGAGACACATTTACCAAACATTTTCCTATTTATATCAAGCCAGATGATTCAAAACAAATTTCACGCTTCACACAGAAACAGACTAAATAGCATATATGTGGCCAAAGTGCCCAAAACACCACCACAACTATATGTATATAAAAACACGACAGCCCCTGAGATGTAGATCTGTTCCTACAGTGTCACTAAAGAGCCGTGAAATGTTTTGTTGTGTGGTAGTCATAAGACACATGGGACGCATCACAGTCAGAGACCAGCTCACATGCACCTTTGTTACTCATAAACATTTTAACAGAGCAGCATAACGGGCTGAGTGGCCATTACACGAGTCAAGGTCCAACATGTTCAACACACGGCCCACATCATGTATCCTGCACAACAACACTGCAGCACACAAGGCTGCAATAGGTTGTTATTATTGTACTCCCTGCTGTTGCTTGACTCAAAACAAAAGGTGATCTCGCCTTTGAGGGTCTACAGGAAGAGCATTCCGAACTTCAATCAGCCGTCTCTGCTCACGTATTTGTACAGGCCTTTGTGTCGCCGTGTGCTTTCTAGAGTTTGTCCTTTTGTGGGGGATTTTTAAGGAAAAGCATGCTGGCTGGCATCCTGCAAAACATCCTAGTACCTTTTGGCATACTGCATTTGACAAACTATGTATTAGGACATACTAAATATTTTTCTGGCATACTAAATAGTATGGAAGTACAGGTATGCTATCTCACATAATTCACTGTCACAGGTGGCTTAATGGCTCAGGCTTCAAGGTGTTTAAGCTGACAACATGTGACAAAATCTCCATGTTTAGCTTCTTTATTATGTTTATCCATCATCCATTTATCCAGGAGACTGCCATGGTTCCACCACACATAGCTAATACAGTAAGAGATGTCTGACCTTCCCTGCGTCCCAGTGTACCCCCCCCCCCCAGTGGGTTTTACTCACCGACAGACTGGTTTGCTTTGGTGGTGAGGTTCTGGGCGCAGACGGCGGTGCCGGGGCCACAGCTGGTTGACGGTGAAGACTCGCAGAGCTTTAGCGTGTAGCTCACCTTATTATCCTGGTCAATAGCCTCCCATTTAAAACTGCAACACAGGGAATACAAGAAATGAAGTTAAGAAGAATTAAGGAAAAACATTTAGGCGCGCACACACACACACACACACACACACACACACACACACACACACATACCAGGAACACATTGGGTCTCAGCCGGTCTAAAGAGAAGGAGTGGAACCCGAGTATCACATTTTTTTGATTAATAAATTAATTATTTAGTCTTAACAATGGATTTGCTGCTTTTTTATATTAAAGTTTCAGAAAACAAACAAGCAATCCAGAGACGTCACCTTGGGCTTTAGGATTCATTTTGAAGTTTTTACATTATTTTCTGACATTTTATAAATTAAACAATTCATTGGTTAATCAATAACGAAAACAATTGTCAGTTGTTTTCCCATGACTCATTTCTGTTTCTGAGTGTTGGGTTTAAGTTGTGCTTTCCTTCATTTAAAAAGGTAAAAAATTAATAAGCAAGCAGCTCAAACGCCTCTAAGTGAACTCTGCTTATTAGCTAGTGGAGAACACTGACATAATAGCATTGCATTATCTCATCAACTATTGTTGTGACCATTTATTCAAAGGCCACCAGAACAAGGAAGTGACATTCAGCCAGCCAGACAGGTTACTGATTATCACTCCAGCCTTATTGCTGAGTCAATATTTGAGCAGCAGCAGCCTGCACATAGCTCCAGTAGTCCTCATTTAAACTGTGAAATAACCGACGTTACATTCTGTAGTGTTGCTCTCTCTTGGTCCTCCTCTAAGTCATGTCATTTAAGGTTGCTAATATTTAGCGTTAGCTTGTTACATGACAGTTTTCATGTAACGTTAGCAGTTAGCTACATATTAGTCTGATAAGAACAAAACACACAACAATGTAAGCTAACTGCTTTGGCTCGAGACCGTTTGAGTTTCGAGCTCATTTCAGTAAATTTGGCTGCTTGAAACTTATCAAGCAGCACGTTTAGACAAACTAGACAGCTGTTATTGGGTTTGTTAGCTAGCTTACACCATTGAAAGTGGTTGCTAATTGTAAGATTTTAAAAGTTGATATTGTCACTGCAATAAAGAGCCCGCTGGTTGTTTATAAACCGCGTTTAACACGAGACATTCGTATAATGAGGTCGTGTGAAACCGGGTGTAACATCGTCAATAAGCAAATAAATCACCAATTGATACATGTGTGAATTAAACCTAGCTTAACGATCTGTGTAGCTACAGAAGAGCATGACACGCTGTAACGTTAACCGTAATTTGTTTTGTTTCTAGCTGCAGTGTTTCAGTCGGAGGTGTGATCGTTAGCTATGACCATAACGTTACCTGCAGAGGTCCCGGTACCACGGGCTGCTGCTGTCCTCCTCCGCTCCGGACCGGACGGACAAACATCCCAGACACGCAACTAACCAAAGAACCAGCTTCAGAGGCGAGAAGCGGTCAGATTTACACAGAAGTAACATGTTAACAGCGGTGGATATCAGTCTGTGGCGCCTAAGACGACATGATACGGTAGTCTGTCTGCTGTGGAGCAAATCAGTAGGAAGTGAATGCACCACATGACAGGACATCACATGACTCTCATGATGCTGACTGATGCCGCCTTCATCGTCTGTGGGGAAACTGGGTATCTAAATCAGAATCACGTTTATTGAGAAGGTTTGCACCATACAGTCTATGGTTTTTACATACAAGCAGTGGTGGGACAAGTACTATGGGCAAAAGTAAAATAAGCAATGCAGACAGTGTAGCAATACTCTGTTGCAAGTAAATGTAATGAAATAAACATTTAACTTGAGGATAATCAAATAATAATAGCTAAAAACTAACTTTTGTTATGGTGCTGAACATCTGCTTTTAAGCTCTTTGAATTTTACAGCAAATCTTACATTACAAAGTAAATTATAAACTGGAAATTCATGACAGAGAGCAATAGTAAGTCTGTGAAAACAGTTGTAGAAAGTCCTCTGTGGCTCTGGAGGGGAGCTTTCCCACAATATGTCTGCAAATACACTGATTATGTCTTCAGAGTGTCACATAGCACTAATGACTAAATACAATGAATTATTTTGTTATGATGAACGTACATTACAGTGGGCCAATCAATCGACCAAGTCATTTTCAGAAGCAAAAAGGACAAATGTTCTGATTCCACTACAGATCGGACAAACCTAGACCCCCTAAAACCCCCCAAAAAGGCTCCCCTAAAACAGTTTGGACCCCCCTAGGGAGGCCCGTCTCCCATTCTGGAAACCTCGATCTAATCCACCACACTATTGATTTTCATTGAGGGACATAGGCTTCTAGTGTTTTAGGGGAGACTGACTTACAAAAAATCTACCCTATGCTGCAAATAGGTGGGCGGTTTATTGTAACCTTTATGGAAGTGCCTTTGTAATTCGCAGCAGTGGAGGTGGGGCTGTGGTTTAGGAGGTAGAGTAGGTCGTCTACTAATCAAAGGATTAGCAGTTCAATCATCTGCTCAAAGTGTACTAAGGGCAAGATGTACAGTTCAGGGTCCACAAATTCTCTCTTTCTCTTTAAAATATACGCTTCTGATATATTAGGGATGTCAATTCAAGTTAGAACAAGACATTGTCATGTACTCGTGGGGCCATCACATGGACACATCACATGGACATACATGATAAGTAGTAACGAATACACCATTTAAAGATGAAATATTTTCTACCGTCTTTATCGCACCTGAATGCAGCATTATTGATGACAAGAACAACGAGTCAAATAGGTGTTTTCCATTTAAAGGAAGAGGTATGCTGCTTTTCCAGTTATGCATCCACTACTGTTTGTTAAGTAATACCTGAACGCAGGATTTCATAACCATAACCATCCATCATTAACCATCGATACAACATTATCATTTAGTTATCATTTCATTAGTAGAGTTTGTGAATAGTCAGTCCTCAGTTTGGGAGAAAGATTCAGCTTCCTGTAAGTACTACCTCTGGGCAAAATCACACAACAATTTAAATGGAGCCTTTAGCTGTCACATTGCGCCCTCTAGTGGCCATGACGGAACACAACAGAAACTCTCACTCATCGCTTCGCTTATTCAAGGGCCGCTGTCGAAACAGTGTTGGATATTTAGGTATTTTCCCCTCAGTTATAGTCTCAGTTGCTGAAAAAGCTTTAATCCTTTATTCATTCTTGACTCTGGACATGTTTGCTTTTCCTATGCCCTTCTTTACATTTGTTAATATCCAAAAAATCATACTAAAACAGCTCCTCGAGAGCTGTCAGGGCGTTGTGTTTGGAGCCTTTATATAATAGAAGGGTGAGAGGAAATAGATGTGCAACAAAGTTCCCAATCCAAACTCAGGGATAGTGCAATTACACGGGC